TATCTATCTATCTATCTATCTATCTATCTATCTATCTATCTATCTATCTATCTATCTGACATATATTCATGACGTCTTTCTTACTTTCATCTTGACATTCTCGGTAAATTTATTTTTCTTGAGTTTTGTAAAACATAAGACTTCTTCATTGCGTTGTATCGTCTTTGTAATTACTTTCTATACATCCATTTAATTTTTATTGAAATTATTGTTAATATCTCTTTTGATCTGGTTCATTTGAACCAAAGAAATGGACATAGACGATAGTGTATACTTGTCTACATGATCAGAATTTTCCTCTCTACGAGAAAATAATAATCAATATATATATATCATTATTGTATAATTAAATCTACAGAATTACAAACGAGGAACAGGTTGGAATAAATAATAATATATTTTATTTTAAAATATTTCTTCCTATCATCAGTCTTCTACGCTGATGAATTACTTACTCAATTTATATTTTGAAATATGATTAGATCTTTTGAACAAAAAGCTCTGTATGGTTTAATGAAATCTTGTTATTAAGGTAAACAAAATGTTTTAAACATTTGTATTCATAGTTAAACAGAAAATTTTTTTGCATTTAACATGTTTAGCTTGCTCCAATATCTGAGCTACCTGTTTCTGTCATCTGAATATTTCAACAAATTCTCTCTTTTCTTGTTTTTTTTTTAACAAATCATTATGTCTACTAATCGCATAACCTATTCAGGCGTGTTTATGAAAAGTCTACGACTTTTCGCTGTACAACTTACAAAAAAAATTATAATCAAAGACATCGTGATGGTTGAAAATATACATTGAAAAAGATGAACATTACTCAGATGTTGATTCCTTAACTGTTAACATCTGACTGGTGATTACTTAATACTTATCGTCAGGATCGATCAAGAAATAAGAAAAGGGAATTTGTTGAAATACTTTGTGCTGAGTATTCTATATTGTACTAAGAATGTAATGTTGAATAAAGCCATCGACAATAATAATAATAGTAATAATAATAATAATAATAATACTAAAAGCAATGCTTTCGTTTTAATGTAAAATAAAGGGTGTTATTATATTTATATTGTAAAATTGAAATATATCGCTTGTAACTAGTAACAATTTTACTGTATAAATTTCACTGGGTAATTAAAAGTTTTGCTTCTTTTTTTACTTATTCATGTAATCAAAATTCTATTGAACATACGGAATTGATTGTTTTTCTCCATGTGTACATTTATTATTGACTAATGGTTACTGATTTCAGTACATTGAATATGAGCATGCTAATTAAATGAATTTTTAATAAATGTAGACTAAATTGGGTTAAGTTAATATTGTAATTTAGTTTACTTTTGGATGTGTTTATTTGCATAAAATCTAACATATTAACAATATCATATCCGTAATGTTTAAAAAGATTAAGAAAAGTTAGTTTGTTTAGTTAGCTACAAAGTAAGAGCAGTCACATATATGCATCGGTCCAAGTTGCCAAATCTTATAAGCAGAACATAATGAACACCAAATTTATAGAAGTAGTCACTTCAAAGATAGTAATGTATAAAAGAAAGATTGCATAAAAGGATATAGTACAAGAAGAAAGAATTAGTTGGTGGGAAGAAAGAGAAGACAAAGAGCGTATACACCAATCCCATTATGATCGATTCTGAGCCATGTCAGACTCTTCGACCATTGGTTACGATAGTCAAGTGGACCCCAACTAAGTAGACTGCATCTACCGACATGGCTCAGACTAGAAGCTAGTGACTTTATGGACTGATGTCGCGTTTCGGTTTGGCCACCACTCTAACACGTCGTGGTAATCAGTGTACAGGCATACGTAACACGTGACCCAACTATCTCAGTCGATGGAGATTTACAATCTCATTAACTCATTTACCATCATTCCCTAATACCCCGAGTCTAACTTCACTATTACTTACACAGTGATCCCAGCAGATGCGAGCAATATTTCCAAGATATCTGTGGTCGAATACTAGTAGCTTACGACTATTTTCTACCCTTAATGGCCACGTTTTGCAACTGTAATGTAGAACAGAACGAACTGCTTCACAGTATACTCGTCCCTTAATTGATAGACGGATATCTCGCCTTCGCCATAAGTGACATAAGTTGGTAAAAACCAAATAAGTTTTCTGAATCCGTGCTGAGATTTCGTCAGATACCAACCTATTAGGGCTGATCAGACTTCCAAGATAAATAAAGTTGTCAACGCGTTCGACTACTTCACTCCCTATCCTTAGTTCAGGTGTTGATGTAGGCCAGTCCTAGAGCAACAACTTGCATTTAGAGGGGTGGGAATGAAAATCAGTCACACAAAATGATGGTGATAAAATAATCATTTGTTCATGTTTACTATCTACATGAATTATGCTCCTCTAATAATATCTATCTTTAACATTTCAGCTCATTATCTGTACTATCACATAATGACATACTCTAATACTACTTATATGAACATGTTTTAATTAGAAAAATATTTATATCATCCCAATGTTTTATTTCAATATTTTAGGCAGCTATAGTGAAAAATATTTCATATTTACTCTATAAGAAGTTGTATTTGTTAACTGTAGTATTTAAAGAAACTATCAACGATACATTCATCACTCAATTATACTCGGCCCTATTATGAACTGTTTAAAAAAGAATACTCTGACATATTACATTCTTCAATTTACCTTACATTTGCAAAATTACGCTTTCATTTATCAATATAGAAAAGAAAAAGAATTTTATTCGTCATGGTTTTTTACCTCATAACGAGGCCATTTTTTTCATATCCCTTTTTTATTTTCAAAATACTTTATTATTATACAAAGATGGATAGTGGCTAGCAGTGGGATCCAGTCCTATTTGGGACTCGTCAGCTGGGTGTACCTGCATCTCAGAGTTGTTGTCCACTCCGGGACTCGAACCCAGTAGCGTTCTCTTCGGTTCCACTGTTAGCCACTATCCATCTTTGTTTAAAAAGCTTGTGACTTAAGGCTATATCGAGGCAATCTACACAGGATGCACATATGCCAACATGAGACTTATCAATTGCAGTCCTAAATAACAATAGGAAGATACAAGTAAAACAACAAATGAATTTAAAACTTCATTATTACTATTATTATTATTATCATTATTATGATCATAAGTATTATTATTTCTTGTTTCTGTTCAAGAATGAACGGTTTTAATTAATTTCTCACGTATTATATGGCTTTCTAAAATAATGTGATCTCCTAAGCTTGCCTAGTATATCATTTTCTTTTTTTCTGTATAGTCATACTGTTTACATTCATTTGTGCCAATAATTGTGGGAACACATCAAAATCCCCTTTAATTAAGGTATGACATTGATTCTCAGTAATCACTAAGAATTAAATGTAACCACAAAGCAGATTGTCGTTGATCAAGCAGAATAACGTTTTGTTAATTTGAGCACGTACTTCAATCTGATAAATTATAATATATCCGACAATTCAGTTTTAGAGTTTCTTACCAACTGCTCCATTATCAAACATGGTATGTTCTAGTATTGGATCGCCAGGCTAATTCGGAAATCTATAAAATCCAAGTAAAAGAACCAAACTGTAAAAGTTTAGTTAATCTTCCCTGATAGATTAGTATATTTATTGCACAACCAATAGGCAGAGATTGTTTTCGAAGTAAAATTCGATTAATTAGCAGTCTATGAAACCTTGAAATACGTTAACTACCATTATTACAAAAGGTTTTTGATGAGTACACAAACGTAAATCATGGAAGAGGTTTCGAGAGTCAATTACTGAATTTTAAAAATGCTAGCTGGATAGCGTGCAATATCATACAGATTTGGGTTTGATTTGAATCAATGCTTACTTTAGGCAGACAGTGTGTCTAGGTAAGACATTTAATTGTATAGTTATCTTTGTAGGTCGATGATTTTTTAGTCAAATAATCACCAATTGGTTAAATTTTCTGGTAAGGGATTCGCAATTAGATTCTAACATTGAAAATAAAAATATGATGATGGTTTTCAAAATAGAGCCTAGGTGATATTTAAATTAAAACTTCAGACTTTTAGAATACTAGCTCTATAATTAAGGGTCAGGATAGAAGTGTAGAACCTACCTTTGTAATAGTTTAGCAATCATATAATAATCAGACGTTTGGTCTAATCATAGGAAAATAAACCTATCGATCAGTGTACAACTTATGTGAACAGTTTATTTATTAGCCCATAGAAGGTAAGGATTGATTGGATAGTTCAGATACCATATTTACATAGTTGGGTAGTAAGATCTCTATTCTTTACACATAAAGTTATGACTCATAGTTGAGTATATGGTCCTGGTTTCGATAACTAAGTTACAATAATTAGCAATCAACTATATGCAACTGATTTCTTTTCCATCAAAAATTATGTAGAAATTGGTTGTCGTTTCTGTATTTTAATTTAACAGAATCAAAGTGGTTATGAATTGGCTACATATTGATGATCAATTAAATGAAAGAGTTCTTCAAACTGCATACATCTTTTGCTTTCCACTATAATAAGTAGCGATTCAAATACTACTACACGTTCACACCATACATTCAAATCTCACTGTAACTGAACGAATCATTAATCTATGTACTAATTAAACAAAATAGAACAGTATAGAATAAATAGCCATTTATACTTATATACTATTAATACAAAACGAAAAAGTAACACAAAATCTTTCTTATACGAAAGTAGATTGTGCTCATTTATATTTATGGATGTGTATTTCTGTGTGTGTGTGTGTGTGCGTGTGTGTGTATAGATATGTGCAGTTATACATGTACCCAGATAAATGAAAACGAAAGTGTGAAAACAAAAACGATCAAAAAAAACAAAACAAATAACAAACAAACAAACAAAAAAACAAGAAGAGAATCATAATTTGAATGTGCATAAATGAGTTGGTTATTTAAATGTTTTCTGATTAACTAGTATTAGCAGCAGTAATAGCTAGTAGTAGCAATAATAATAATAGTAGTAGCAGTAGTAGTAGTAGTATTGTTTGCTTTAGTTAAAATTTCTATGTATAAACAGATTTGTTTTACTGATGTCTTATTTTATTCCATTGTTCAACTAATATATTATTTTCTTTTACATAAAAAAAACATAATAACAAAGAATAAAAGGTTTCATAATCACTAAAAGGGCATAGAAGTGTTGGTGATGATGGAAATGTACTGGAATGGGTCTATTTTTCTTTTTTCTTTTTAAAACATGATTGTAACATATTAAAAGAGTGTAAATTTCTCATTTGATTTGCTTATTTATTATCAAAATAAAAAAATAAACATTTATTGATGACCTCTTGCATTATCAGGTGAAATAGTTCTTGATGAAGTCTCTTGATATTCTTCCCATATTTGTGTTTCACTTGTCCATGAATGTTCATCATTTTCATGTCTTACTTGTACATGTGATGGAATTAATTTATAATCATTATATAATGGTGATGTTATATCAATTCGAGTACATGATACACTTCTAGTATCAGGTAATACATTAATTGAATGATATAAGTTAGATGTACTTATATTTCTAGTTGTAAAAACATCATCTGATCTAGTTCTTGGTATATTGAATTCATGATGATATTGATTAGGTCGATGAGGATAATTTTCTTCAATATCATCTTGTTCATAATTTAATGATACTTGAGATGGAGCTAAAAGATTTACTTGTGTTGATAATAGAAGTGATCCTGGCTCTTTATTTGGTGTACCTGATGTTGTTATATACCGTTGTGGTTCTATTTCTTCGATAAATCTTAACCAACCAGCTTGTTTTGCAGTTAGAAAACTACACCATTTAGTTGGAATAAAATCTTCCGATGATAAATGCCCTGTAGAATTCATACTACGTAACATTGGTCTTGCTGGCCAATCAGCAGCAACTTCACCAGTTTCCCAATTTAATAATCCCAAACGTACAGCTTCTAATGGACCTAACCAAGGAGATGGTTCACCACCAGGACAAACATGAGTGAGTTGATAAACTTTACAGCTAACTGGTTCATCTAATTCATCTTCCATAGATTCTGTTGTGGGAGTTGATGGTTCTAATTGTATTATTTGTCTACCAGCACCTTCTTCTATAGTAATCCATGTATTTGTTAAACTATCTAATAGGCGTATTTCATCTTCCGTTGTTTCAAGTATACCATTTGCTATTGCTAAATTGGGTGATAGTACTTCTCCTGTAGCCGTATTAACAACGCTTGTTAAATAGGCTTTGCACCAACTAAAGTATACTCGTTCAATTAATAGTAATACAGGTGTATTTGTTATAACATTTCTATCATAATGACTTGATGAACTAGTTAATCGTATACGTCCTTGTTGATAAGCCGTTTCTAGTGGAATAGCAACTCCGGTCATTGGATCCACATATTCATTGGTTTCACCAAGTCGAATCCATCCTCTTCTTATTGCCATTGCAACTGGTGCAAATAATCCTGTTCTTGGACTGGCCACTTCACGGATATTATTCCATTGTATACATGATGTTGAATATTGTGATTCAAATAATTCATACTGTAATGTTCGTTGACGTAGTTGAACTAAAATTTTCGACCTGTACAATAAAATAAAAAATCATGTGAAAATTAATATGTTTAAACAAAACTCTTTTATCAAATACAGAGTTAATACATTACACTGATGTGAAGTCTTAAACAAGAGCAAGACACTCATTTTCAGTTCACTATAGTTTTCATCAATTCTCCAACTCACATTAGTGAGTAATATGAACAATTTCTTGAAGAATATTAGCGTATTGAAGATAAACTAATTGAATATTTACTTATTTTCATAACTATAGGAGTGTTATAAGCGAATTTAGAGTCATGATCAGACTAGAATCAGTGTCCTTTAAATTATCATTTTAACATCATAATACCCCAGGAAGTTTGAGAATAAACTAACTACAAGTGAACCAACACTTTTATATTTTATATACTCATTTAAATGTTTTGGTTTTTGGTTTATACTGACATCAATATATGAGTTGTAACTAGTTTGGATAGTCTTTATTATTAAACTCAGTTATTAATGAACATTTCATGATTGAAAACGGAAATGTAAAATATCGTCCGGAATTTTTAAAGTCAATTATATCAGGACTTCAATGAACTTTCCATTGAGCTACTGTCTCTGTATAGCTGCTAGCTTGTTCATTTCGTACGAATTTTACTTGTGAACGTTTTTATTTCGTAGTTTTTGATCTTGAGGTATACAAGTGATCGAGATTGGTAAATAACATGTTGATATTTAAATCCAAAAGCTAATAAATTTGAGTCTCTGAGTAAACATCAATACTGGGAAGTATCAGATATATCAAGCTGACCAGTCTTAAGTAGATCGAAACACACCTCATGTTTTTTATCGCCAATTCCTATCTAACTTTAATAAATATAGGTACGATCAATGAAAAGCCATGAAACATAATATCAACGCTTCAAAACTGATGTTAGTTCATGGCGAAGATTAGCTTCAAATAGAAGAAATCCTTTTTAACAACCTAGCTAATAATCATTCTATTAAATACTTTTGGATTATTCAGTTATACAGCATTTTGTTGCGTTTTTTTGAAAAATAAGGTTTTAATTACTTGATGACTATAGTAATTTTTGCAATAAATAAGTATTGACTAAGTAACCATGAGAAGCTATAAAAGTTGATAATACAGAACTCGATCAGCCCTAAAGGACTAGGATAAACGTGAGATTAGTTCTTACGCATTCATCAAACAGTTGTAAATATTTCATTCTTAATGATGGAAAGCCGCTCTCGAAGTACCGAAATGATAGCGTCTCAGACTGTGAAACTGAGTTCTGATACATTCTTATTCCTCAGGTAGCGTCTGTTCTCCAAAGATAGTAAGTACGCTTTACTGACGGGTGTTAACAAGCAAGATACTTAGGTTCAGGGTTTTCTGTCGACCATCTACAACCATTTAACCTCAGAATTATGAAAACAACAATCATAGTAGATTAATGAATATATAAGTGATGAATGAATTTAATTTACTTAAAGATTCAGATATCAATGATAAATATTATTTTATACTAATAAAGTTTTCTACGGGATGGAGTCGCTAACCCCATGACCAACCCTCCTGCCTTGACATGGGCTTCGAACCGGCAGTAGCCCCAAAGGGGCTCCGGGCGGAGTGTAAATTACATGATCAAGTTAATCAAACTAGTAAATTAAAGAAAAATACATCAGACAAGTTATAAATTATTAACCTTATTGTAGTAGATGAGTTTTACTTAAACGTAAGTGCTGACTGCCATTTCTTTGATCGAATTTGTAACAAAACTATTTGAAAAGATTAATTTTAAGCAAGTAACATTTATATTATCTGTAGTGTTTCTATGTTGTGCTACAAACCTAGTTGACAGAATTCGGACAACATTAATATAATTCTATAAGAGTTTATTTATATATCAACTGACTTATTTGTAACATTTTTGGTTGGGGCACTGCGTAACTTAAGTTTTAGTGTTTGAGTAAACATAAGTTCGCAAAGTTAGACATCATAAAACCTTATTTCATGAGTTCCTGTCGGTACCATTCAACAAACCGAATTAATCGCTAGTGTTAAGGCTTTATCATTAGAAGGTATTTCCATGTTGCTACTATTTGTCATTGAGACAAGTGACTTCTATTCTAAACAGTATTTCATACAGTAATATAACATGGCTTCAAAACTCACATGTGGTGGGTTTCTTCTGTAAGCGTTCCAACTTTTCCTACAATATCATCAGATTGGAAGGGTTCTGCAGATTCATGGAAAGAGATAGGTTCTGATTGCCATTCCTTCTGGAACTTTTTCTCGAGATCTGATTCGATAGGAATTACTTGTGTGCCGCTACTAATAAGCACCTTTTCATTAGAATCAGTTGGTAATCTAGCGCAAATATTTAGTTGGTGAGACGCATATTTTGACACAGATATATCTTCACTTTTATGCTCATCAGATCCAAGCAATCTAATGCCTGCCTTAATTACTTCACACAGATCCTCATCAGCCCATGCTATGTCACCTGAAGAGATAATACTGGCCAGGTGAATTACTGATGTCTGAATACCCGTAGTACTTAAACGTCTAGGACTTTCTTCACGAAAATCTATTGAAGAATGACTTTGTTTTGCTTTGATAAAGTATTGCTGATCATAGAACGGATCTGTTTGCACACCCAATTCACAAACAATCAAATCCTCCTCTTCGGTGAATTCCTCCGTAATTTTTATTTGACTATAAACTTTTTTACTTTTCTTCTCCGTTATCTCCAAGATACGTTCTTCGATTACGTCGATAGGTTCACTAACTTCTTCCATTCGAGATTCTGTGTACAAATCTTGTTCAACTTGAGTCCATGCTTCTGCAATTTGATCTTTTATGAGTCTTCTTTGATAAATTTCAAAAATATCCTCTTTTAATTTGTCATGTCTTTCAGTCTGCATAGAAATTCCGTAATGATCCGTTTGGGACGCTGTTGGTATATGTGTAGGACAGAATTGACACTGGACTTCACATACTTGTCCTAGTCTTGAGCGCATCAAATATGCTTCATAAGTGTAACTTGATCCACTAAGCGGGGATTCAGATCTTGATATTTCGGATTCAGACGGTGAACTATGTGAAAATGAATCGAATACAATTTGAATCCCAACATCTGCTGCTGTAACGGGCTCTTCCATGGCCATAGAGGCCTGCTCACGTACCGACCCAAACTCACGACGGCTTTGATAATAATCAAAGACAGAATGTGTTGGGGGACATTTTTCCCAAACTTCAGTTACACCACTTTCATGAAGCAAGCGCTTCATGTATCGCGAATATGATGTGCCTGACACAGTTTGTTCACTGTCATCATGTCCACTCGATTCTTCTAGTATTATATTTTCATTTTCTATATGATGCTCAACAATATAGTCTGTGGAAATGTCTTTTACGTAGAATTCTTTTGAGTGTCCTTTATAAACTGAGCCAGTCAGGTTGACTTGAACTTCTGCATCAGTCACAAGCATGGCACTGCATGGTGCAGAATAGTAATAACGTTCAATTAAACGTTCTCTGATGTCTGTAGAACTTACGTTTTGAAGTAAGATGGCAACATTTGACTCTATATCATCAGTCATGGTTTCAGCATCTAGATTATCGATAATGATCTGTTTTTGAATTATATCAGAGGTCATGGATTGGGTTTGACAGCAAGCATTTTCTTGAGCAGGCTCATAAATATACTGGACTGAAAAGTTTTTCCTGTTGACGGTAGGCAATTGGCTAACAGGTAAGGAAGGAGAGTGTTCTCTTTGAGAATCAGGCCTATAAATATTTGACTCTTCAGTTTGCACACAACTATTCACCAAACAACGGTGTAATTCTTTCAAATTATCGTCAACTAACTCCCATTCAAGGTCTCCAGAGTCAAGAGGGACATCTTCGTCATGAATTGTTGAAGACAAATAATCAGGATCAACAAGGAAGAATCCAGATGCATCAATTAAGTTCGGACATTTCAGCCCACGGGGAACAGGCTTTAATGGCTCAGTTAAAGTTCCTACAGAGGAGCAACCAAAGACCTTTATACAACAAGAATCAACAAGTGGAGATGATAAGGATACAGGTAGATCAAAATTCACAAAACTATCAACAATCGGATATCTTGTAATTGATGACAAATTACATTGAGACCAACAATCACAAAGAGAAGGTGTAGCACAAACAGAGATATCGAAGCGAGAGGACGGCAGTGAATCAAAAACATCTTTAGTAGAAGCCGGTGAAACTTTAACCGATTCATTCATAACACTAGAGGAACTGTCCTCAACACACATACTTTCCTTCACCGTCTGCACACAGGCTTCCAATGTTTGGATGCGTTTCGGTGGTTCGTGGACCGGAACAACTGGTGTCTCTGGTTTCACTGGTGCATGCATCTCACTCCAAGAATCCACCATGCACAATTGCATAGGTTTGGCTTGTGACGTCGCATCGGTGCGTTTCAACGACAAATGGGCAGCACCGTCGAGTAGAGATTTGTGTGGCTCAGTCTGTGCACCCACGTCGGACGAGGAGACTGGTACTGTGTCGATTTGTTGGTCGACTGTGGAACGTTTCACGAACTGTGTGGCTTCCACTAGTGATGTTTTGCGAACAGGTTCAGGTGTGGGTAACTCCAATGAGGCGGTCTCGGTGATGAGAGGTGCTTGGACTTGAACGGTGGGTTTAGAGACAATCACATGCTCACTGGATTCCGTGACGTGTGTGGTAACTGAGGTCGCCTGTGTGGCAGTGTCAGTCAGTTGGCGTGGTGGTGGCTGTTTGACAGGCGGTTCTGCGTAGGAGGTACTCACTGACATCATATGATCAGGTTTCACTGTCTTCATTTCTCTGTGATCCACACTGGTCACAACTGGTCGTTCGGTTTGAGTCACCTGTACTTCTCGTTCTGCTACTCCCACTGCTTCCGTCAGTGTGTCGCTGCTGGTCTGTTGCACCTGGTAGCCAGAGCTCATGACACGCGTGGCCACACGCATTCCGAACTGCATTCCAACGTCCTGAGTGACTGGCTTCTCGACCTTCATGGCCATGGATAGTGTTGACTCGACGTAGGGTGCCGGTGTCACATGTGTCACTAATTCACTGGATGTCTGACAGAGACTTGAGAACTCACTGGTCTGCATAGCGACATTCGACGTCTTCACAGTCACAGGAACCGGTTCGATCTTAGGCTGGACGGTCTGACAAGCCATCTCTTCGGTATTCACGTACCGATGTCCACAGCTGGTACACAGACTCCTCTCGACCATTTTCGGTTCTAACTTGTGTGTGGTCAGACTGACGACCGGTGTGCTCACCCTATCCACTTGCACTTCAGCATTCACACTCGGTCTCTTCACGAAAGCTGCAGCCGAATCAAGCACACTTTCCGGCGACTTCATTAACACACTGGTCGCACTATCCACAACACACACACTTTCCTTCACCGTCTGCACACAGGCTTCCAATGTTTGGATGCGTTTCGGTGGTTCGTGGACCGGAACAACTGGTGTCTCTGGTTTCACTGGTGCATGCATCTCACTCCAAGAATCCACCATGCACAATTGCATAGGTTTGGCTTGTGACGTCGCATCGGTGCGTTTCAACGACAAATGGGCAGCACCGTCGAGTAGAGATTTGTGTGGCTCAGTCTGTGCACCCACGTCGGACGAGGAGACTGGTACTGTGTCGATTTGTTGGTCGACTGTGGAACGTTTCACGAACTGTGTGGCTTCCACTAGTGATGTTTTGCGAACAGGTTCAGGTGTGGGTAACTCCAATGAGGCGGTCTCGGTGATGAGAGGTGCTTGGACTTGAACGGTGGGTTTAGAGACAATCACATGCTCACTGGATTCCGTGACGTGTGTGGTAACTGAGGTCGCCTGTGTGGCAGTGTCAGTCAGTTGGCGTGGTGGTGGCTGTTTGACAGGCGGTTCTGCGTAGGAGGTACTCACTGACATCATATGATCAGGTTTCACTGTCTTCATTTCTCTGTGATCCACACTGGTCACAACTGGTCGTTCGGTTTGAGTCACCTGTACTTCTCGTTCTGCTACTCCCACTGCTTCCGTCAGTGTGTCGCTGCTGGTCTGTTGCACCTGGTAGCCAGAGCTCATGACACGCGTGGCCACACGCATTCCGAACTGCATTCCAACGTCCTGAGTGACTGGCTTCTCGACCTTCATGGCCATGGATAGTGTTGACTCGACGTAGGGTGCCGGTGTCACATGTGTCACTAATTCACTGGATGTCTGACAGAGACTTGAGAACTCACTGGTCTGCATAGCGACATTCGACGTCTTCACAGTCACAGTAACCGGTTCGATCTTAGGCTGAACGGTCTGACAAGCCATCTCTTCGGTATTCACGTACCGATGTCCACAGCTGGTACACAGACTCCTCTCGACCATTTTCGGTTCTAACTTGTGTGTGGTCAGACTGACGACCGGTGTGCTCACCCTATCCACTTGCACTTCAGCATTCACACTCGGTCTCTTCACGAAAGCTGCAGCCGAATCAAGCACACTTTCCGGCGACTTCATTAACACACTGGTCGCACTATCCACAACACACACACTTTCCTTCACCGTCTGCACACAGGCTTCCAATGTTTGGATGCGTTTCGGTGGTTCGTGGACCGGAACAACTGGTGTCTCTGGTTTCACTGGTGCACGCATCTCACTCCAAGAATCCACCATGCACAATTGCATAGGTTTGGCTTGTGACGTCGCATCGGTGCGTTTCAACGACAAATGGGCAGCACCGTCGAGTAGAGATTTGTGTGGCTCAGTCTGTGCACCCACGTCGGACGAGGAGACTGGTACTGTGTCGATTTGTTGGTCGACTGTGGAACGTTTCACGAACTGTGTGGCTTCCACTAGTGATGTTTTGCGAACAGGTTCAGGTGTGGGTAACTCCAATGAGGCGGTCTCGGTGATGAGAGGTGCTTGGACTTGAACGGTGGGTTTAGAGACAATCACATGCTCACTGGATTCCGTGACGTGTGTGGTAACTGAGGTGGCCTGTGTGGCAGTGTCAGTCAGTTGGCGTGGTGGTGGCTGTTTGACAGGCGGTTCTGCGTAGGAGGTACTCACTGACATCATATGATCAGGTTTCACTGTCTTCATTTCTCTGTGATCCACACTGGTCACAACTGGTCGTTCGGTTTGAGTCACCTGTACTTCTCGTTCTGCTACTCCCACTGCTTCCGTCAGTGTGTCGCTGCTGGTCTGTTGCACCTGGTAGCCAGAGCTCATGACACGCGTGGCCACACGCATTCCGAACTGCATTCCAACGTCCTGAGTGACTGGCTTCTCGACCTTCATGGCCATGGATAGTGTTGACTCGACGTAGGGTGCCGGTGTCACATGTGTCACTAATTCACTGGATGTCTGACAGAGACTTGAGAACTCACTGGTCTGCATAGCGACATTCGACGTCTTCACAGTCACAGGAACCGGTTCGATCTTAGGCTGGACGGTCTGACAAGCCATCTCTTCGGTATTCACGTACCGATGTCCACAGCTGGTACACAGACTCCTCTCGACCATTTTCGGTTCTAACTTGTGTGTGGTCAGACTGACGACCGGTGTGCTCACCCTATCCACTTGCACTTCAGCATTCACACTCGGTCTCTTCACGAAAGCTGCAGCCGAATCAAGCACACTTTCCGGCGACTTCATTAACACACTGGTCGCACTATCCACAACACACACACTTTCCTTCACCGTCTGCACACAGGCTTCCAATGTTTGGATGCGTTTCGGTGGTTCGTGGACCGGAACAACTGGTGTCTCTGGTTTCACTGGTGCACGCATCTCACTCCAAGAATCCACCATGCACAATTGCATAGGTTTGGCTTGTGACGTCGCATCGGTGCGTTTCAACGACAAATGGGCAGCACCGTCGAGTAGAGATTTGTGTGGCTCAGTCTGTGCACCCACGTCGGACGACGAGACTGGTACTGTGTCGATTTGTTGGTCGACTGTGGAACGTTTCACGAACTGTGTGGCTTCCACTAGTGATGTTTTGCGAACAGGTTCAGGTGTGGGTAACTCCAATGAGGCGGTCTCGGTGATGAGAGGTGCTTGGACTTGAACGGTGGGTTTAGAGACAATCACATGCTCACTGGATTCCGTGACGTGTGTGGTAACTGAGGTCGCCTGTGTGGCAGTGTCAGTCAGTTGGCGTGGTGGTGGCTGTTTGACAGGCGGTTCTGCGTAGGAGGTACTCACTGACATCATATGATCAGGTTTCACTGTCTTCATTTCTCTGTGATCCACACTGGTCACAACTGGTCGTTCGGTTTGAGTCACCTGTACTTCTCGTTCTGCTACTCCCACTGCTTCCGTCAGTGTGTCGCTGCTGGTCTGTTGCACCTGGTAGCCAGAGCTCATGACACGCGTGGCCACACGCATTCCGAACTGCATTCCAACGTCCTGAGTGACTGGCTTCTCGACCTTCATGGCCATGGATAGTGTTGACTCGACGTAGGGTGCCGGTGTCACATGTGTCACTAATTCACTGGATGTCTGACAGAGACTTGAGAACTCACTGGTCTGCATAGCGACATTCGACGTCTTCACAGTCACAGTAACCGGTTCGATCTTAGGCTGAACGGTCTGACAAGCCATCTCTTCGGTATTCACGTACCGATGTCCACAGCTGGTACACAGACTCCTCTCGACCATTTTCGGTTCTAACTTGTGTGTGGTCAGACTGACGACCGGTGTGCTCACCCTATCCACTTGCACTTCAGCATTCACACTCGGTCTCTTCACGAAAGCTGCAGCCGAATCAAGCACACTTTCCGGCGACTTCATTAACACACTGGTCGCACTATCCACAACACACACACTTTCCTTCACCGTCTGCACACAGGCTTCCAATGTTTGGATGCGTTTCGGTGGTTCGTGGACCGGAACAACTGGTGTCTCTGGTTTCACTGGTGCATGCATCTCACTCCAAGAATCCACCATGCACAATTGCATAGGTTTGGCTTGTGACGTCGCATCGGTGCGTTTCAACGACAAATGGGCAGCACCGTCGAGTAGAGATTTGTGTGGCTCAGTCTGTGCACCCACGTCGGACGAGGAGACTGGTACTGTGTCGATTTGTTGGTCGACTGTGGAACGTTTCACGAACTGTGTGGCTTCCACTAGTGATGTTTTGCGAACAGGTTCAGGTGTGGGTAACTCCAATGAGGCGGTCTCGGTGATGAGAGGTGCTTGGACTTGAACGGTGGGTTTAGAGACAATCACATGCTCACTGGATTCCGTGACGTGTGTGGTAACTGAGGTCGCCTGTGTGGCAGTGTCAGTCAGTTGGCGTGGTGGTGGCTGTTTGACAGGCGGTTCTGCGTAGGAGGTACTCACTGACATCATATGATCAGGTTTCACTGTCTTCATTTCTCTGTGATCCACACTGGTCACAACTGGTCGTTCGGTTTGAGTCACCTGTACTTCTCGTTCTGCTACTCCCACTGCTTCCGTCAGTGTGTCGCTGCTGGTCTGTTGCACCTGGTAGCCAGAGCTCATGACACGCGTGGCCACACGCATTCCGAACTGCATTCCAACGTCCTGAGTGACTGGCTTCTCGACCTTCATGGCCATGGATAGTGTTGACTCGACGTAGGGTGCCGGTGTCACATGTGTCACTAATTCACTGGATGTC